CCCTTGAGGCCCTAAGGCGTAAAATTAATTTTTTTTAAACATTAATTAAAAATTGTTATAAACTTACAAACAATGATATCCAAACATTTATTTTTTTTATCGATTTTCCGTGGCTTATTGTTTATTTTCTTGAGTATTTTTTGAGAACGAAAATTATATTTTTTTCAATTCCACGAGGCGTGAAATTAATTTTTTAATATTTATAAAAATTTCGAAAAGCTTCCAAACAATGGATACCAATAATCTTTTTTTACTTTCATAATCCCATAGGCGTAAATTTTTTTTTTTAACATTTTTTGAATGTTGCCGAAAACTTTAGAACCGTGGGTACCAAAATTACATTTTTTCTATTCTCCGAGGCGTAACATTTATTTTTTGGAACTTTTTTTAAAAATTGCAAAAAACTTGCAAAGCATAATCATGAAAAATCACATTAATTCGATTTTCTGAAACGTAAACATTTTTTTAAAGTACCAGAAACTTGCAACCGTTTGATATAAATACTCTTCTCCTTTTGAATCTTCGAGGCGTAAAGTTTAATTTTTTTAAAACACTTTTTAAATGTTGACAAAAACTACACTAACATGGGCACCAAAATTCCATTTTTCTTTATTCTCCGAGGTGTAAAATAAATTTTTCTGATCATTTATAAAAATTCCTAAAAGTTTTCAAACGATGGACATAAAAAATTCTATTTTTTTCTAGTCCTTGAGGCGTAAAATTTAGATTTTGAAACATTTAGTAAAAATTGACAGAAACTTGGGTTGCATGAGGATGAAAAATCACTTCATTTCGATTATCTGAAACGTAAAACTTTTTATTTAAACCTTTTTTTAAATTACCAGAAACTTGCTACCAATTAATATAAATATTATTATTCTTTGCTTCTTCGAGGCGTAAAATTAATTTTTTAAATATATTTTATCAATGTTGCCAAAAACTTCAGAACTATGGGCACGAAAATTCAGTTTTTTTTATTTCTCTGGGCGAAATAATTTTTTGAAAATTTTTTGAATGTTGCCTACAATTTTTGAACCATGAGCACCAAAATTTCTTTTATTCCAGTTCCGGAATCGTAGAATTATTTTTTTGAAACATTTAATAAAAATTAACTAAAACTTGCGAAAAATAAGCATAAAAAATCACTTTATTTCAAATCTGTAAAACGTAAATTTCTTTTTAATATTTTTAAAAATATTTAGAAACTTTGCAACCGATTGCAATTGGTTGAATATCTTTAAATATTAATTTAAAAGAAATATACAAGTTTTATAAAAATGGGAAATTAGTTTATTACTATTGAATTAACGATTAAATAAAAAAAATTATATTAAAAAATTAATTTCTTTTCAAGAAAAATATAAATAATGTATTTTCTTTGAAATTTAGATATAATATAATTTATAAATTTCAATGTTTACAATTATTGAAAGTAAGAAAATTAAATATATTATGATTTTTTTTAAATTAATATAATAATATTAAATTAAATAATTAATTATAATTATTATAAGCGTTTAGATAAATTTAAGGTTATTTTGTGATTCATATAGTTTTAAAATGTTATTTATCTGCAATTAACTGCACACTTCTTTTTTGCGTCACTTGAAACATATAATTTTTCGAAAACATTTCACAATTTGAACATTCAGAATTACTTCTAAATAATTTGTCAATTTATAAAACTGTTAACTGAACACGTAACCGATCATAGCCACATTTTTCCAACGATGACTAGTGATGACATTCTTTATTATGACAGCTCTTTGAACAAGGATCACAGAGTTACAAGTCTTACCGAAAATATTCAATTTGTAGCAGCAACTTCAAGTGGAAGGCATTTGTACGTTTTACTGTACATTTTCATCTCGAAGAATTATGTAATGCATAGATAAACCAGATTTATATCACATCGTCGGAGGTCTGATCTCAGGAATCGATAAGATAATTAAAAGTGGCTACTAGTTAGTTTCATCGTTAAATGACGCTAGTAGAAGCAAGTTATTAGCTATCTTGATCACTAAATCTCCTTGAATTCAAAAAGTTTCTGTTTTTGTTTATTTACAATTACATTTTTTCCGTCAACTTTTCCGTTATATTGGTGAAATCTAATGGATTATTTGCTATAGTTAAACATGACATCAATCTTACTTGACAGATATGAAGTTTTTTTTTCGAAAAATGAAATCGTTGCTCCTATTACGTGGAACACGAAAACTACATTATACTATTCAAATGATCGCAGGGAGCCGGAGTAAGTTGACATTGTTGTTTCTGAGGGTGGCCTCAGGCCATGCGAATATCTTAGCCAATATGTATGTACCGCTGAGACTGTATACGAAGAACACGCCCGCTGGGGCCATGAAACGCTATATAATAACCGAGACCTCGGCTTCCGTCACCATACACTAATCAATAACCATGAATCGCTTCAGTAACAGTTCCATTCTTATTGAAGAGACTTCAATTTTTCAAAAAAGAAAAAATTAAATAATTTTCTCTATTTATGTATTTATTTCTGTATAAATAATTTTCAATAATCATATATAAAGATGCGATAAAAGTAAATTTAAATTTCAACTGGCATATATGAAATTACCATGTAAATTTTTTCAACCGTCTCTAATGTTGTCTTAACGACTAATAAATTCAAACAGGATTGAAAACGATTCGATAATCGATTTGGAAGATGGCACCTTTTCAGCAATAAACGAGCGGAGTCACAATATTACACGCGCGCTTTATGGTGCGAGACACGATTAGGGTTCATTCTAATTGAAATAAGAAAGACACACATACACACACACACACTGTTCGAGAAAATGAAACCCCCATTGGGTGCCATAACGGTGCATCGTTTAAGAATTAAGAATTATTTTCAACGGCTTCGAAGGTAATATTAAACATATAACGTAGATATTAATTCCTGAAAATTTAATACTAACGATCCCGCACTCTAATTTCAATGCACAATTTTCACTTTCTTTCTTTTTTTTTCTTCATTGCATAATTGATTTCATTTTCCTTTTTTTTTCTCTCGTGACAAAATTCTCATTTTCAAGACGATGTAATTACTTTGTGTCTTTAAATATTGCGATGTAAATTAAAATTTATTAATCTGTGTAGAAATTTTTCTATTTGTTTTATTTTACTCTTTTAAAAAGTACCATAGAAACTTCATTTTATGAAAAACTTGACAATTTTTTAGTTTAAAATTCGTTAAAATTTCTGCATAAAAATACATTAATTAAATAACAAAATATTAATGTTTATTATAATAAACAAATGAGAATATTTCTAAGAAATAGAGAGAGAGAGAAGTTGATGAAATTGAATGGATGCCCTCGGGTTATGTTGTTGGAACTGGTGTTCTCTAGATGACGATCGTCAATAAAGTTCAATTATCCCCGGAAACGAGGTGTGTGTGTATATATATATAGAAAGAGGTACATCGAAAGAGAGATGATAATCTAAACGATCGCAAAGTGGGCTGCAGAAACGCGCACAAAATTGGCAATAACAGGATATTCGCCAGGGCCCAGCGCGAACTTCCTATTCTGGTTAGCATTCAAATTGAATCTTCGTGGCGGCCAGTCGTGAAGAGTTACCGTCGTTAATGGACCTCGCAAACGCTCTGAAATTGCTAGCAGACGCCCCTGCCTAATCTCCCTCGAAAACTCACTGATATCAAAATTCTAAAATTCTATAATATATACCTATTCTCTTCCTGTTCCTTTTTTTTTAGATATACTCTCCATAACTTATTTTACCAAAAGTTTCCCTTTAACTTTATAATTTCAAAACAAGATCGATTTTTATTTTAAATAAATGTTTTTAAAAATGCATCGATTTAAAAACGTGCATTTTTTTGTTTGTAACCAAAAAAAAAAAAAACACCAAAGGCATATTAAGCGTTGAATAAATACTGGATACTGTGTGCTTTTGTGGCCAGTAATAAAAAAATAAAGCCAACATCGAACTGAAAAAGGCTCAGGTTTATAATTGACTATTAAAAATTTCAAGCGTAGCATGACGCGACAGAATTGGTATGCTGTCTCTTCTTCTATATAGGGCCTAATTTGTTCTCCCTTTCGATTACCCCTATAAAAAAAAAAAAAATCGAATTAGTTCGCCTGATTTAAAAAGGATCGAAAACGGCCTGGCGAAATGATTTTCAAGAAAATGTGAAATGCAGATCCAAAGCGTCCTTGAACAGAAGCCGAAGGTCGACGGATTTGTTATATAGTCTTCTATTCCATTGCTGGACTAACGACCCTCTTGACGAGATTCGAAATGGCTAATTTAGCGTGGTGGCTCCCCAGAGATATGGAAGAGAGGAAAACCGAGACTCAAGTCAGAGAAGGAGAAATGGAAAGCCAAGAAGAAGAAGCAGAAGAAGAGAGAGAGAGAGAGGGACGATTTACGCGCGCAAGGGATCTCCATGTCTTAATATAATTCTATTAGAGGTAACTATGCACGCTCTGGTCTGCCCAGCGCTGTTGAATTTAATCACGGAACCAGTGAGCCGTACGATATTCCACTGCCTTCAAGCCCAAGGAGGACTCTTATTGCCGAATTAACCTGACCTCAGCTACCTGATTCCACGCTACATGATACGCCTTCATTTATTATAAGTGCAGTTTCGTAGAACATGCATGTATGATTGCCAATTGACGAGAGCGAGTATATTACACGCTAGAGACAAGTGAAAATTACAATATCCTACCCAGGGTATTCTAATTTTCACAGAAAATAGAGAGGCATATTAAAATTTAACAGCGACTATTTTTTTTTCTGGATTAAATTATTTTTTCGAGAATAAAATGTGTCGCCATCTATTGGATTCGTTATGTTAACGCTTTATGAGATTGATACTAAAATGTAACAGCGCCATCTATTGTTCGTGACCTCTTAGTTTAGTAATTAAATATTAAAAATAAATTTAATTTCAACAATGATTGAAAAATAAATTAATTATAAAAAAAAATTTTATTTTCTAGCTGAACTACAAATGGACGTATTACGAGAGAGGCAAGTCAAGGACAGTCTAGAGCGACAACTCCAAGATGAGCAGAAAATTCGAGGTAAGTACCAAATTTACATTTATCAATAATCAAGAATTGATTTTACTAAATCAAAATATCTGAGATATACGTTGCGTGACGATGCGTAGGCATATAGAAGGTCGATTCGCGATGTTATAATAGGTGGACGTGTATCGAATGTCTCGGGGAAGTTTCGAACCAAGGGTTAACTTGATAATAAATCAAGAAGCCTTAGAGACACTGCGCTATAAAGTCTGTGCTCATCCTATAGAGCGAAGGATCCTGCGTATCCTATTATTCTATGTTGGGGGTCCCCTCCCCCCCCCCCTCTCCACCTGCTTCTTGTTCTTCACCTTATACGTTCCTTCGCGTAATGGCAGGAAGACGCAGACCAAGCCAAAGGCCGTGATCACTCAACCAAGTTTGGATCGGATGTCAGTTCGTAATAGAATAGTCCTCTCACGTTTATAGCTCGGTTCCTTTGACCACGACCTCTCTATCTTCTTACGTCACGTGGTATTCCCTTACTTTCTTGCATCAGCTATACCAACATGTCTTAAATTCGAAAAGTTTTAATTGGATGCCTATTTTTCTATAAGCGAAGAATATCACAGGAACAATAGATTGTTGATGACTTGGCTGTCTGCTGCAGATAGCCTCAGCAGTCTTTTTAAATTTACGATTATAGTGCCGCGGTAAACTCTTTTAGTCTTTACTTTTTTTAATCAACAGTTTTTTTGTGTGAAAATGTTTTTGTCAACCGAATAGTAAAATCAATTAGAAAGATGAAAAATTAGTATAGAAGTAAGCAATTAATTTACCTTGGAAAAAAATTTCACTTCTGGGGATTCGAACCCTGAAACTAGAAAGCAGTGCCTTAACACACTCGGCTATCATCAACTTTAAAATATTTCAATTCTACTTAATGAATTTCCAACATGGAAAAAAATTATATGTAACTGAAAATCTTTAATAATAAAATGTCGACTTATTTTTCCATTTATATTTTTCGGTTCATTATTATCTCAATGAAATCGAAGAAGAGAAATGGTTTGGTTACATTTTGCCATCCATCTTGCAATGATAACTGAGATAGATTTATGTATAGAGTGAACACGTCTGCTCAAGATAAAACCCCTAGATATAGACGACAGTACAAGAGACGATTTTCTACATTCGTGGGATATCGATGAAAGACGTGTGTAACAGTGACATGAATGGGAGGGAGAGTTGTAGCAATCGAGGGGGGGGTGTCGCGTTCAGTAGCTATGCCCGTCATATTCATGTATTGACACAGAGCTGGTTGACTAATGGACCGCTGTTGTCCCAGTCTCGTGTTACCACAAGGGCCTCGAGTTCTTTTTTTTTGTCAGTTCATCTTTTGTCTCTATAACTCACACTGCGAATTCTCAGAATATAGAAAACATTTTTTCGGAATTATATTTAAATTGAAAAAGTTTAAATTATTTTATTAGTTGCTGATTTTTGTAGTCAAAATTTGCTGCAGCATTATTTGCTAGAAATTGAATTTTTTTTCCAATGTAGGGCGGAGAAAATAAATTCCACTGTATGAAAAAGGGTTCAAATCTCTCACCCCTTGAAGATATCACAAACGATTGATTAGCACTTTTTGGCAGATTCCCATCGACAATGCGGTCGCATTTTAGGGGAACGACAAAAATTGTGGGTTGAAATTATTTGAAAGTCACGACCTGGTCGTTGGAAAGGTTTTTTTTTTTTAATAAGCTAACTCACAGCTCCCTGTGGTTCCATTCCGTTCCGTTGTCCGACTTAACATATTTATCGGATCTACATTGTTGGCTTGTCAAGCGACGTCGTCTTTTAGGGATGTAACCGCGTTATTGAATCGCTACGGATTTTCCATGAAAAATGAATTCCCTTTCTCACTGTTATAAAAAAAAACTAATACTAGTTCAATTTTTTCTTCTGAATGATGTAAAATTTATTTTTGAGTAAAAATTCCTCTTTTCAATATGGAATCATCAAAATTGAATTATAGACTAGAAAATAGCTAATGAAAACTATCACACCTTATAAATAGCAAAACACTTGCGATGAGACAAAAAATAAGAGCACAATGTATTAATTCTTATGCGCCTTTCTATAGCTTTCATAGACTATATAATAACTATGATTAAAATTGTAAGACAGAAATCTGATGAAATTAGCCGGTAGTTTTTTTTTTCGTTATGTGAAGCATCGTTGGCCTAATGAAGACCGTGTCATGAACGAGCGTGCCGTAAAGTGGCTGAAGCGCAAGTGTGAGGCGTGGATTTAGAGCGAGTTAATTTCCTTGTAGGCGTCGCAGAGAATTTCTTCTTTTCTTTTAACGACTCGAGTCACCGCATCATAGAGGAAGTGGGGTGAATATATATATATATATATACATTTTGTAAGCCGATATGTAATTTGTGCGCATCGTCGATCTTTGGATCATATATGTGACTATGATTGATGACCAAGGGACCTAAAAGATATTTACGCACGCTCATCGGAATAACTCTCCTCATTCGACTAATGACTGTCTCTCGTAAGAGATATCGCGCGTCAACAAATAATGCGCCCGCCCCACAATCGCGAATTGACAGTTCGCTAACAAGGGCGGTTAAACATTTTTTTTTCCCTCAAAAATCACAAAATTCTATCTCGTTAAAATTAATATTTCATGTTCGTGGATGAAAGCCACTTCCGGTTGCGGTTAAATTTTGTACCAAGTTTTTAATATCTTACTAAATCACTTCAGTAAAATTTCCAATGAAAATTAGTTGAATTCTTCAATGATTGAAACAGTCAAATCTGTTTTACCAATTAATGATAAGATTTGATTTAGTCAAATCTGTTTTACCGATTAATGGTAATGCAGATTTGACTATTTTAATCAGTAATAATTCAAATGATTTTTATAAATCTAAAGAAGAGAAAGAGAAGAAATTTAACTGATTTTTATAGAGTAAATAAAGATTACTTTTAATTGTTTTTTTTAAAAAGATTTTCGAGAATCTTAAAACAAAAGCATAGACAGAATATTAGCCTATTTAGAAGACTGTTTGGCATTTCGTTAAAGGTCGAAATCCCCATTCTAGTGCTGTAACGGGTTGTAACAGGGGTCGAGGGAAATAACCTCCCTCACACAGTCATGGAGAAAAGAGGGTTGACGTCTTGCGAACAATAAGATGACCTTTATCGCAATATTAGATTCATAATTTTCCTTTCGAACATAGTATAATTATTATTTCAATTAATTATTAATTTAACTTTTTTCAATTAAAAGATGCCATTATATCGATGACAAGAATAATTATTATTTTATTCTTTATATTGTTTTAATGAGAATAAAGAAGGTATCAAAGAAAAAGTTCGATCGGTAAATATAAACCACGGAAGTATGGGAACTGACAGCTGCCTTTATACTGACGGTTTTACATGAAGCTGCGGCTTCCTTGTAATTAGTAAAACCGTTTGCTGCAAAACTCGATACAAGAAACCTTCACACTCGACGACCCAACCTCCTTTTCACACGTGGCACCTGTCTGGATAGTCTTACAAAGACATTGACAGCGACCCTTTACTACAAATTATCCAACGCTTGCAGTTTATAATTGCTTCTTTCGTGACTAAATTGAAAAAAAAAAATAAATAAATTTTGAGATTTTACAATAATGTAAGGATGAGAATTTAGTTCTGGATTTTAAAAATACAATTTTGACTTGGGGAGAGAAATCTTCAGAGGTGGAAAACCAATTTTCAAATGAGTACACACATACAGCTAAAGCACTCGGGTCATCACTTTGAAGCGAGTGAGTGTGAAAATTCCGACTATAAGGGTCAGAGGCAAAAAGAACTGTTTTCGTTGAGCGACATATATATGAAATGACACGCAGAAAATTCAACCCTTTTTCGATCCAATGCCTCCACATTTATTATTATTTAAAAATATTTTTAATTTTTTAATGACTAGAATAGTATAAGTAGAGAAATTAAGAGCTTGGAAAATTGGAATTGCAATCGTACACGCGGGACATAAACAATTTGAAAACGTATCAATACCCAGAAAATAAGAGAGCGAGGAGGAAACCGTGAAAGTTGGGGTCAGACCTCTGTTATATACAACTCTCCCAACCAGGAGGAATGGATCGACAAACGAAGCGATGGCGAAAGAGAGAGAGGACACACGCTTACGGTTCACCCCCTTTGTGGCAGTTTAGCGTTTCATGTCGTATTCCAACTCATTGGAAATTGAGGAAAACAGATGAGGCGCAAAGGGAAACGGCTTTGAGAATAAAAAGAACGAGACCGTCGCGACGCGAAAATAAACCCCTCGACAAGAGTGAAAGAGAGAGAGAGAGAGAGAGAGAGAGAGAGAGAGAAAGAGAAAACTGGCCAACTATGTCAAAGGTGTCGTTGTCTGTAAACCACTAACTCTCGCGTCAAGGGTAGTGAAGGAGACAAAGGGCGTCAGTTTTGTCGTCCACGGTCCAATGGCACCTGTAAACTTTCTTTGACGAATTCCCTTTGCTTCGACACCTTCTCATTTTTTTTTCACCCCCTTGTCCCAAGAATCACAATACATATACATTCTTTTTCACAGACGCAATAATGCTGACAAAAAAAAAAAAATTTATATTTTAATCCACAAAAACTTGATTTCTATTTTTAAAACAAATATTTCTTTTGGATGCAGAGCAAAAAATTTAAAAGCTATTCTAAAAATTTTTATCAACTAAATGAATCTCATTTCAATTTTTTTGCATTTCAATTTCTATTTCGAGTTCTCGAAGCGATGATTCGATGTTAAAGAGAAACGCGCGCGGGAAAATCCCTCGGGACCCAATTACAGCGACACCCGATCCTAGAATTACCACCCAGTTAATTCAGGGGGAAATCGTGTATAAATCTCGGTCGCTTGATCGTACGCTTTCAATTGCGTTTGTCAGTGAGAGGAATACGAAAAATATACAGAGGGGTAGTAGTAGGTGATAAGCTGGATTTAGGTCCAGAGATTGTCACTTTAAACATAA